AATCTATTAAATTTCTGTATTTTATTGAATTTATAAGAGCTACTTTTCTAAGAATCAACTAAATTGCAGAAACTGAGGAGGACCTGAAGTGCTTGCTGCAGAAGGTCAAAGACTGCAGCCTTCAAAATGGATTGAAGCTCAACATCAAGAAAACAATGATTCTCACCACTGGGACAGTTGGTAGCATCATGATAGACAATGAAGAGATTGAGACTGTTAACAGCTTCAGTTTGCTTGGCTCCACAATTAACATTCTTGGTACCAGCAGCCAGTAAATAAAAAGATGAATTGTATTGGGAAAGTCTGCTGTCAGGTACCTCTCCAGAGTACTAAAGAGCAACGATGTCAGCCTGAAAACTAAGGTGCACCTGATCCAGACCATGGTCTTTGCAATTACTTGCTATACATCAGAAAGGTGGACAATGACTAGGAATGAGAAAAGAATTGATGCCTTTGAACAAACAGATTCGTCCTAGAGAGGGTAAAACATGGGTGCTCCTTGGAGGCAAGGATTCTGAAGCTTCATCTGACATACTTTGGGCATGTTGCAAGGAGGGACATCATGCTTGGGAGGGTGGAGGGACAGCACAAAAGAGGAAGGCCCTTGATGAGATGGATTGTTACAGTGACTTGGGTAATGGTGGTAGATGTGTCAGAGACAATAAGTTTAGCACACAACAAAGTAAATTTGAAAGTACAGTTTTAATGTAAAGGAATTTGATCAATTAAGGATGAAGTGTTTTTAAATGCTGTCCGGTGGATTCCAACTCCTAGTGCCTGTAACAGAACAAAGCACTGCCCAATCCTACGTCGTCCTCATAACTACCACTATGCTTGAGCTCACTGTCACAGTTACTGTGTCAACTCATCTCATAAAGAGCCTTACTCCTTTTTTGCTGACTTTCTACTTGACCAAATATGATGTCCTCTAGGGACTGGAATACCCAAAGCATTAGAGACAAAGTCCTCTCATCTTCACTTCTAAAGAGATTTCTGGCTACACTTCTAAGACATTTTTGTTCTTTTGGAAATCCATGATATATTTAATATTCTTTGCCATCAACACAATTCAAATGCATTGATTCTTCTTTATTCTTCTTTACTCACTGTCCAATTTTCTTTTTTTTTTTTGTTTACTTGGGTTTTCTTTAAATAATTTTTTTATTTTAATTTCAGCAAATATTCTTACAAAGAAGTTAGATTTTCTTTCATTCATTGTTGCCCATTTTACCCCCTCACCCTCCCTTCTCCTCCCCTAGTTCACTTTTTTAAAAAAATATTAATTTATGCACAGTTGCCTATCTCCAGCCCTCACTCCCCCCAAGTCCTCTTTGAAATGATATACCTCTTCTTCTGGGCTGTTGTCATATGTATAACACCTAATCATATTTTAGACAGTTCTTTCCTTCATCTGTTCCAATACAATGGTCATTATCTATCCACTCTTATCCTATTCTCCTCCCAACCCTGTCAGACCTGCTCTATAACAGTGGGGCTGTGCATTATTTGTCCTTTTGTGGCAAATATTTCACTCAGCATAATGTCCTCCCAGGTCCTTCACGCTGTATAATGTTTTATTAGTTCATAGTTTTTCAGTGCTACATAGTATACCATGGTGTTAATATACTATCGTTTTTCTGTCCATTATTTGTTAATAGATGCTTAGGTTGCTTCCATCGCTTTGCTATTGTAAATAACAAAGCAATAATCATGGGTGTGCATGTATTTGTTTGGATGATGGTTATGGTTTCTTTGGGTAATATTTCTAGTAGCAATGTCGCTTGGTCAAATACTATTTCTATTTCCAACTTTTTGAGAAACTGCCAAACTGCCTTCCATAGTGGTTATACCATTTTATACTCCCACTAACAGTGAATAAGGGTTCCAATCTCTCCACAATCTTACCAGCATTTATTGTTTGCTGCTCTGCTGAACTTTGCTATTGTTACTGGAGTGAGATGATATCATAGTTGTTTTGATTTGCATCTATTTTAGAGCTAGGGATTTTGAACATTTCTTCATGTGTTTGTTTGGCATCTGCATGTCTTCTTTGGTGAAGTACCTATTGGTATCTCATGCCCATTTTGCTATTGGGTTGTTTACCTTTCTCTTATTGAGGTTCTGGAGTCTTCTAAAAATTTCAGATATGAGTCTCTTATCAAATATGTCATTACCATATTTTTTTTTTCAATCTGTGCCTTCCTTTTTACCCTTTTGGAGAACTTGTTTGTTTGGTTTCTTTTTTATTTGTGTAGGGATTTGATTCTTACAAGGTCCCACTCATCTACTTTATTCTCTCCTAGTTGTAGGTTTTTCATTACACTAGGAAGACTGTTCATACTGTGGATTAAGGCTTTCTAGAGATCTTCTAAGCTTTTCTCTAATGAAATTTACAGTCTTTCATTTTACTCCTAGGTCCTTAATCCACCTTGAGTTGGTTTTTGTATATGGTGTGAGGTGTGGATCTTCCTTAAGTTTTCTACAGATGGTTTTCCAGTTTTGCCAAGATCATTTATCCTCACTTAATTGATTTAATGTCCTTGTCAAAAATCAGTTGAGCATAGGTAGATGAGCTGATTTCTGTGTTCTCAATTCTACTCCATTCATCTATGTGTCTGTAACTGTTCAAGTACCATGCTGTCTTGACCACTGCAGCTGTGTAGTATTTGAAATCAGGGAGTGTGATACCTCCTACTTTGTTTCTCTTTTTTCAGGAGTGCTTTGCTTATCTGGGGTCTCTTTCTATTCCAAATAAAATTAAATTGCTTTTTCCATCTCGTTGAAGATCTGTGAACTACAGTGTAATAGTGGACTTGTGCATATCAGAAATTGTGAGGATGGAACAGTTCAGATCAGTTGTTCATAAGATTACTCTGAGTCTTAGTTGATTTAGTAGCACTACAACAACATCACCACTATCTAATTCCTTCACTCCAATAAGAAACCCTTCCCCTGGGTGCTGCATTCTGTTTAAATGCACCATGGTTAAGGGCTGCTAATTTTCCTAAGTCCAGCCCAAATAACACATACCTTGGATCTCTTACATCCCTACCCAGAATATGTTTGAGGGCACCCAAGAGAGTGCTGGAATGGAAGGAAAAGCCAATATCACTGAAGAGAATTTGCAAGAATGTAAGAGGGAAGGCACGCATTTCCAGTCCACCAGCTGCTCCGAAGGAAAAGGACGGATATTCTCCTCCAGTGTAATTTACTGACTCTGAAAACCCGCTGGAGGGTCTGACTAGGTAATATTTAACAATAGGAGGGATGACGGGAAATGGGTAGGAATAAGTTTCTATCCTGTTGTGATCCATATCATATAAGCTCCAAGCCTGCTTCTTGGCCTATAAAATGAGGATAATCTACTTCAGGGATCATTCAGCTTTTTCATTCTTTAGGCTTCATTAGTCATATGGCAGTTGCAGCGTCTCAATTCTGCCCTTGCAGTAGGAAAGAGGCAGTTACGGACAATATATAAAGGAATGAACATACAAAAAAACTTCATCAAAACAGGTGAAAGCATGGTTCGAGGCAGGCAGTCTCCTAATCTACCTCACAGAGCTTTGGTAAGGTAATGTGGCAGATAGGATGCTGCTCTGTGTGGAGCCCCTGGGATGAGTCTTGGGAGAGAGGGTGCTGCAGACATAGTGATAGATAGCTCAGCATGTCTGCCAGGTAAGAAAAGGCACGGGCCTGCCACTCAGACGGGTGGTACACCCTGAGGAATTGCCATAGACCTCGCAGGGTGGTCACCTTGATGGAGGTGACCCAGTTTTCCAGAAGTTTAAAGGGAGGACACCACCTGTGGGCAAGGTGAAACAACAAAGTAGCAGCCAGCCTTGAGCATCACGCTACCAGAAAACTGGCTGCAGACTCAGCTTAGAAAGTTAAAGAAGGGCTAATGACAAAGAGTCTGGCCCCTAGAGATAGCCAAGACTATGTCACTGGCTCAGCAACCACTTCTCCGATTCCTTCCTTTAGAATCAAGCCCCGCCCCCAAGAGCCCCAGGACCCGGAGCTCCCTGCCACCCCGCCACCACGACCCCTGAAGCCCCGCCTGCCATTGTCCCAGACCCGCATGACTGACGCTACCCTGCGCTCGGGAAGCGGCAGACCGTGAGGGCCCAGGTGAGGGCACCGGGCAGGCTGATGGGCTGTGGTGGACTGTCCGTGATGGCTGCCTAAGTCAGGGCACCAGTGTGTGAGGGCTAGTGGACTCTCCGTGATGGCCGCCGAGGTCAGGGGCCCCGGGCGGGGTGACGAGTTGTGGTGGATTGTCCATGACCGAGGTCAGGACACCGGGCAGGTGAGGGCTGTGGTGGACTGTCGTCTGTGATTGCCTGTCCGTGACAGGTGCCGTGGTGAGGGCACCGGGCGGGGTGACCGTCTGGCCGCAGCACGAGATTGGCATCCTTCAGGTCCAAGAGGGCAGCCGGTCTAGGAGATGCCCCCGAGGGGCCTGGTAGTCTTGGCGTTTGCGGCCCTTCTTGGAGAAAAGAAATTAAAATAAATGTCTTCTCAACTCTAGTGACTATCCTAGGAGTTTTGTATGGAAATCAGTGAGGTGATACACTTTACGCCACCCTGCGGTTCTTGTTAGTAGAAACTTCCTTGCCATCACTTTTTCTCAGAAACATTTTGCACTTTATCCAAAATGGAATAATACTGAATTTTTAAAAAAAAAATTTTTAACGGACCTAATTTCCAGACGAAATGAGTGGGGGCCCGGGATGTGTTTCAAAATAAATGAAGAAGGCATGAGTAAAAGGAAGGAGCCCATGAGCATGGTTGAAGTTATTTGTATATATACCTTTGTATAAAATGTTTTCTGAAGTGAAGAGTTGAACCTGGAGCCTGTAACCAGTTATAGTAAGGCCCACACTGAATTGCCTCGTGTACCTGGACAGATGTGTACCTGGAGAGTGTAACTCCAAAGCAACGATGGGGAACATATGCTGATGTCTCTCTCTCTTGGCTCAGGTGGTCATGTGGCTGGACTCATGGCTGGTCCCTTGAGGTGGGCAGCGGCGTTCATACAGAAACACAAGACGGGCCTCCTGCTGTCTTCCTGCGCAGGCCTCTTTGGGTCCCAGGTTTCATACCACCTCTTTCCAGATCCCGTGGTCCAATGGCTGTTCCAGTACTGGCCTCAGGGCCAGCCTGCCCCCCTCTCCCTGGAGCTGCATAGCCTCTTCCAAGAGGTGCTACAGGACATGGGCATCCCCTCCAACCATCGCTACAAGGCCTTCACAACCTTCACCTTCCAGCCTCTGAGTGCTGGCTTCCCACGCCTCCCATCTGGAGCTGTGGTGGACATCCCAGCCAGCTTCCTTGATAGAACAGTGTCCACCATTGACCAGCCTCTGGTGATCCATGGGCAGGAAGTGAACTGGCAGAGCCCACCAGGTGCCCAGCTGAGAGAGGCCCTAACCCTGTCACATGATGCCCAGAAATTTGCCTTGGCCAGGGAGGTAATGTACTTGGAGAGCAATGCAGCTGCCCTCCAGGCCCTGCCAACCCCAGCTTGCCTGGCAGGGACCTGGGTGCTCAGTGTGAGTGCTAAACAGGCACTGGGACTTTATGGAGGACCAATGACCTTACGGGCTGCTTTCAACTTGGTAGCAGCAGTGGTGGGCATTGTGGCCGATGCCTTATCCACAGACTCAGTGACTCATGCCCTGGAAGGCTGGCTGGACTACCACTCAGCCTCCCTGTCTACAGCCTATGCACAAGGGGGAGTGGAGTTCTATGAAAAGGTTCTTTCTGGTAACCTGGCTCTCCGTAGCCTCCTGGGCAAATGGGAGAAGCTGTATTCACCCAGTGGGAATATCATTCCCAGACACTGGTTCCGCATCAAACATGTTCCTTACACTGCCCGCCGGGACTCTGTGCTGCTGGTGTGGAGAGAGCTCAAATCAGGCCACTCCTAAGGGGTCATCACAAAGTTCCAGCTCTACAGGTCCTACCCTGCCATGACTGGGCAGCATTCTTGGGGCCTCAGCCTGCATAGCCCAGTGGTAGAAATAACCCGGGCTTTGTTGTTAAATGCCTTGGGTAAAAATACCTTGGAATCTACTCCCTCCTTCTCTCAACTTGTGAACTCTGTAACATTGCTTGTGTGTCTCTATGAGCCTAAGCTTTGACTTCCTAAGCTGTAAAATTAGGATAATGAAAACTAACTTGGAAGCTTGTGGAAATTTAAGAAAACGTTAGCATAAAGATCATGAATGCCTGGCAGAGAGTGTTCCATAAATAGATGGGCAGTCTTTCCACAGTCTTTGAAAGTCTTTGGGGCCAGGCCATACATTCAGCAACAGAGGTGACTGCAAGATGGATAGGATGTGAATACTTCATAGAGGAAGAACCAACTGATATATCCCAGTTCTCAGATTTAATAAGCCACAATGAGAGGTTAGTGTGGGGCACAATTGCTGAGGAAGATGAGCTTGAGGTGGGACTTTTAAGGGCAAAGTAGCAGGGCCCTGTAGACACAAGAGGTACTAAAAAATGTCTAGAAAGCCTGCAGGGGTGCTAGAGCTCCTGCCATCTCTTAGTCTGCAAAGGAGGCCAAGAGTTTTCCCAGAACCTATGAGATCTGAAGCATGGGAGACTACTGGAGCTCCAGGCACAAGGCATTGCCAGGTCCAAGCCCTGCAGGGAGGGAGCCCAAGGCTGCATAAATAATGTCTAGTGCAAGCTGAGTTCCTGTAAGACAGAGGTTAACAATGTCCCAAATGTCCAAATGGTTGTACCATTCCCATCTCTGACATTGATTATTCCTCCTCCCTTCAGTCTTCCCCCTTTCATCTATGGTTTTGGGTTCTGATTCACTGGAAGGTCTCAGAGGTCCAAAAGCCATTAGAGAAATGACTCGTGTGATTGTGGATGATGTAGGCCAGTATATATGGTCACAATGATCGGTGGCCAGTGGGCCAGGAACCTGTAGGTTGAGGTTGTCAATTCTTGGTTGTAAGCTGTCAGCATAGCTGGATCAACTTTGATGCACTGTACCAAGCAAACAATAAGCTTCTGTGAGCATTCGTCCATAGGATCTTGGGGGTATAAACTATACCCTCAGGAAAACTGAGGGTGGAGCTAATTTTAGCTTCTTAATATTATAAACAAATCATCCTTGAATAAGATCTTAAACATAGGTGAAGAGACCAGAATCACAGAATGGAAGGCTGTAGTTGGAAGGGCCATATTACTTCCTTCATTGTGCCATAGGGGATGCAGAGAAGTCCCTACGTCCCAGAGCATGGTCAGTTAGGGGGAACAGATGGTAAGCTTGGTACCTAGGGAGAAGTGAGTAGAGATGCAGGATAGAGGTAAGAGTGGGCTACACTTAAGAGTCACACTTAAGGCCTCCAGAGAAGCCACTACTTGGTTCCCATGAGTCCTTCAGGTGATGGATTGAGCATGCCTCCACTTTTGATCCCTGCATTAGGAGAGTGAGGCTGACACAGGAGATCCAGCAGGACAAGTTCAGAGAGATATGGTCAGTAAGCCAAGCCTACTTGGCCACTCAGGTAACTTTTCACTGGAGGTTGTATTTTTTTTATGATTGAGTTGAAGAAGTCAAGGCTTGCCCTTTGTAATTCAGAATAAAGAGATTAGCCACATCTTGTACGGGTGTGAAATGGCAAGTTGTGGGAGGCATGTGCAGAGGTGGCACATGTAAATGATTCCTTCCTGCTGGGTCTTAACCCAGGCCAGAGCCCTGGCCTCGTCTGTGTCATACCACGTGTCTTTGCATCAGGCTGGGCAGACAGTTTCTGAGAGCCCGCACCCCTACTTATATCTCAGATCCCCCATGCTGAGTGTTGGTCCCTGGCCTAATGGATGCATAGTATAGATGAATGAGGCTGCACCTTCAAGAACTGCACAGAATGTCACTCCACTGCTGCTGCTGCTGTTGGTCAGGAGTCACAAGGACACTTGGAGAAGCTTAATTCTTGCCTGTTGAAGTGCAGTTTAGTGTCTGAACCCAATAAGCTTCACACCTGTGCACCTCACTCACCCCAAACACTCAGTACTAGTGTATCCAAGATAAAGGTGAAGGAAGGGACTCCTGCTCAGCTGCCCAAAACATAAGGGAGCCCCACTCGGGGGGAGGGGTAAGCACAGAGGTAGATCAATGCTCTGTAACAGTTTTTGTCTCCCTCTCTGCCCCAGTTCACAGACTCCCTCAGGTGGACTGTTCTCAGCATCAGCATATACCCCTACATGGCACCCAAGGTTTGCAGAACCCCCATCCTTGTGTATCCTGCACAAAGCTACCCCATGCGCAAAGCAGATCTTCAGTCTTCCAACTTTCAAAAATGTGTTTACTTTCCTATATAATACCTTCTGACTATGCCCATCCCAATGCCTGGGCCAACCTGCTTGCTCCGAGCATCCAGCCTCTCATTTTCCCTGGCTATTTGTGTTCTGGCCTTTTCTGCCCCTTGATTCTTTAGCAATTTTCCCCCCATCCTTTCACAGCCCTCCATCAGTGATTTGGAATGCTCTCTCCCTGGCATGCCCTTTGCTTAGGCATTTAGAATTCCTGCTATAGTTTGACACTCAGGGACCTAACATGGCTCTAGAATCACTCCAGTGCCTTCCCCATCTCATGGCAGATTCCCTTATATGTACTCTGAGAACACACCACAACTCTTCCTAGTCCTAACTGCTGAGTGTAAGTAAGTTGTCATATAGTTACTTTTATACCATCTCCTGTACAAGGATTGTATGCCTTAGTCACATCCCTGATGGGGAAATTACTTCATAGCAGCTAAAAGCAAAGGACTCCAAGGCTTGGAGGAGATAAAAGGCAGTCTAAGAAAGAGGTCGTGAAGGTAGGAGATGGTGTTTTACAGCTCCTATACTAGTAATTTTAAATGCTAGAGCACTTAGTTTCAAAGTATTTGGTAACATGCTTACAGGCATGTTCTTGGTGACATTTGTGGGAGATAACCCAGTGATCCTTGCTTCTAGTATTCTTTTTTTTTTTTTCTAGTATTCTTGACCTTGTGTAATCCTTTCTTTGATTTCGTTGCTGTTAACCAATAGAATATAGCAGCAAAGAGTGAATGACACTCCTGAGATTGTTGTTATGTGCCATCAGGTCGCCTTTGACTCATAGCAACCCTATGTAAAACAGCCTAAAACCCTGCTTTATCCTCACCCAACCTTACTGTCTCTGACACACCTACCACCATTACCCTAGTCACTTAATCAGTCCATCTTATCAAGGGTTTTGCACTGTTCCTCTACTCTCCCAAGCATGACATCCCTTCACTAGTCCCTCCTTGCAACATGTCCTAAGTATGTGTGATAGACCTTCAGAATCTTGCTGCCAAGGAGCAGCCTGGTCTTACTTACTTTCTCTAGGATAAACATGTTTGTTCTCCTAGCAGTCCATGGTATATTCAATGCTCTTCTCCAACATCATAGCTCAAAGACATCAATTCTCTTTCTGTCATCAGTAGTCATTGTTCAGCTTTCTGATGCATAGTAAGTAATTGCAAAGGCTATGGCCTATTATCAGGCACACCCTAGTCTCCAGATTGACATCGTTGCTCTTCAGTGCTTTGGAGAGGTCCCTGACAGCAGATATTCCTAGTACAATTAGTCTTCATTTCCTGGCTGCTGGCACCAAGAGTGTTGATTGTGGAGCCAGGCCAGCTAAAGCTGTTAACAATCTCAATCTCTTTACCATCTATGCTGAGATTAAGTTATAAAAGATTGTGACTTCTGTCTTGCTAGTAGCCTCATTGCATTATCAATTTGCATGCTTTTGTGAGGAAAGTAGCCATGTTGAAGAAGCCCAGATAGCAAGAAACAACCAGTGAAAGACAGACCTTCAGTGAATTCAGCCCCCATATAAATTAGCTTAGACTCCTTCCTAGGGATCAGATGAAACCCCACACTCAGCCAGTATCTTCACTGCATCCTATGAGAGACCCCTGAAGTAGAAGATCCAGTGAAGCTATGTATAAATTCTCGAAAGATGGATAATAAATGTGTTTTGTTTTAAGCACTGTTAATGTTGTAATTTGTTACGCAGCAATACATTGTCATTGTTGTTGTTACGTGCTGTCAAGTTGAGGACAACTTATAGCAACCCCATAAACAAAAGACCTGAACCCAGTCCTATCCTGTGCCATTCTCAAACTTCCTGATACACAAGAACCAATTGCAGCAGTCACTATGTCAATCTATCTGGTTGAAGGTCTTGTCCTTTGCCAATCCTCCACCCTTCCCAGCATCATGTCCCTCTCTAACAAATAGCTTAAGGCTAAGACTCACCATTCTTGACTCCATAGAGCACTCTGGTTGCACCCTTTTCAAGATCTATGCTCGTTCTTTTGGCAACACCACAACTCAAAGGTGTCAGTTCTTTTTCTGTCATCCTTATTCATTGTTTAGGTCTCAATTACTAGGCTAGTAATCGGAAAGACTATGGACTGAATCAGACGCATCTTAATCCTCAAAATGACATCACTAATCCTCAGTAATTTGGAAAGGTCACTAACTGCAGATTTTTCCCAGTGCAATGTGTCTCCTTACTTCCTGACTGCTCATACCAAGGGTTTTAATCATGAATCCAGGCAAGATGAAGCTGTTGACAATTTCAATCTCCTCTACATCCATCATGACACTGCCTATTGGTCCAGTAGTAAGAATCTTTGTTTTCTTGAAACTGAGACATAATCCATACTGAAGGCTGTGTTTCTTGATCTTCTGCAAAAAGGGCTTCAAGTCCTCCTCACTTTCAGCAAGTAAGGTTGTGTCATCCACATGTGGTTTGTTGTTGTTATGTACCGTTAAGTTGCTTGTGACTCATATCGACCCTTTGTCCGAAATCCTGCTCTATCCTGTGACAGTCGCACTGCCTCTGACACACCCATCCTGATTACCCCATTCACTGAATCAATCCACCTCA